GCCTCGGCTCAGCCAGCACCTCGTTAACCCAAACACCCAGCCCGCGGGGCGGGACGCGGCGCCGGCCAGCCAATCGCTGCCGAGCGCTTCCGGCAACGGCCAATGGTAGAGGACAGCGCGCCGGCCCGCTGACCAATGGGAGGCGGCAGCGAAAAAGAGGGCGTTTCCCCATCCCTGCAGGTACCAAACGGAGACCAATGGCTTTTGCGAGGGGCTACTGCAACCGCTAATGAAATGCGAGGGAAAGGGGCGACGAGCGGCAGAGGCTAAAAGAGAAGATGCTCTCCCACCTGTCGCTGTGGTCTGGGCAGGTGAGCTGCTGCGGGCAGGGGTAGCAATAGTGGGGCGGCATGCGGTACCTGCAATAGCGCTGCGCGGTGGTCGCTCCACCACCATCAGCGTGACCAAGCTTCACTGCATCACCAGGTGTTCAGAGCAAAGAGACAAGCAAGGTCTGAGGGTCAGAAGGGGTTAGCGTTGAATCGGGAACCCCAGCGTCTCAAAGTCATGAGATTGGTACAAAAGTAATATACTTTAAAATAATAAATTCGGGCAAGTGAGGTTTTTTGTTTGTTGGGTTTTTTTCCACTTTATGTTTTCATGTTTTCCCCTAAAACCATTGGAGCAGGGGTGGCCAACCAGTTAGACACAAAGAGCCAAAAGAGCTGTGGATCCTAGTGCGAAGAGCCACACATTCCTCCCCCAGTGCCAATACCCAATGTCCTCTCCCTCCTCCATACCCCCTCTGCTTCCCCCACTGTAACCCAATGCCCTCCCCCAGAGCCAGGCACCCCCAGACTCCTTCTGTTCTAACCCAAATGCCTGGGTCTCACAGCCACGCACTTGTCCCTCCAGGAACTGGGGCATGTGGCTCCAAACAAGCTGTAACCCTGAGAGCCACATTTCTGTGAGCAAAGAGCTGCATGTGGCTCAAGAGCCACAGGTTGGTCACCCCTGCATTAGAGAGACTTCAGGAGCTGGGATATTAAGACAAACACCAGATAGTGCTAGACTCATGATAAAATTGCAAGATTTTGTAACACTGTCATGTAGGCCAGCGATCTTAGCCTTTTGGACCTATGTTTGAATAGCGATGTGCTATTTCGAAAGATAGTGTCCACACTGATTGGATGTTAGCTTGCATTTAAGGCCACCCAGAACTAGTTTCAGCAGGGCAGTAGGTCAGCAGTTGCTTCTGGGTGCAACTGGGTGCCTAAGGCTATCTCAGACGCGTGCTTAAAGGCACTCCCCTGGACAGCCGTTTCTCAGCTTCTTCTGCTTGATTGCCTACCTTTCCGAGGGACAGCAAAGCATTTGCAGTGTGTGCTTTGGTTGCTCTGCTTCAGGATATTACAGCACTCCTTGCCATGGAGCCGGAGTTGCCTCTGGGTATGCAATGGCCCCACACGGCCATGCTGCAGTTTTTGCAGCAGTTTCTGCAGGCTGCCCTCATGGTCCTGCATGAGCTCAACTCCGAGCTCATATTTGAGAACCTCTTCCTGTGTGCGAGAGCAATGCCCTTGCAACTTGCCCCCACGGTAGGGAGACGCTTCTGGAAGCTGAACACCAGTTCCGACTGGTGGGACCGGCTAGTGATGGAGCAGTTGGATGACCAGCAGTGGCTCCATAACTTCCACACAATGAGCCTTTTACTAAACAATTGTCGAGGTAAGGAAAGATAATCATGGCTTGCTTGAAAAGGTAGGCCACTACAACAGCTAACGTCTTTGAAAACACTCTCGGTGCCGATGAGAGGCCGAACAAAAGTATGCAATATTGATAGTGGTTGATATTGTCTCCACAATGAAACGTAGGAACCATATGTGTGCGGGATGAATAGTTATGTGAAAATAGATATCCTGCATCCTGCAGGTTGAGGGCTGCAAACCAGTCTCCCTTCTCTAATGCTGGGATTATTGAAGTTAAAGTAACCATTTTGAATCATCGCTTTCAAAGATACCGATTCAATTTGCAGAGATCCAAAATAGGCCACCATCCTCCCATCTTTTTTGGGGTGAGAAAGTAATGGGAATATAACCCCTTGCCTCTGAAGTCCTCTGGTACTACTTCCACCACTCCTAGACTGAGCAGTCATTGTACCTCCTGTCCTAGCAGGTCTTCATGAGAGGGGTCCCTGAAGAGGGACAGGGAGGATAGGGAGATGGGGGGAAGCGAGGTAAAGGGGATGGTGTACCCTGATCCTATTATCTCGAGGACCCAGTGGTCCGATGTGATGGCTGTGCAGCGATGACGAAAAGCCCTTAGACAGTGGTGGAATACCAGAACAGCGTGTGATGTTTCGTGTGAGATGGGGAGATCTTGCAGACCCTCGACTGATAGGGCAAACCTGCTGCTTGCTCACCTAGTTGCCAGTATTGCAAGCACCCTGTGAGTGTTTCCTTTGTGGGCATTGTCTGCTCTTTGATTGATCAAATGAGAGTTGTTGGTATCTGGAGTAGAACTGTTTTTGATATGGAGTATCTGTTTTGATATGGAGTGTAGCATTTACGGAGGAATGGGGGACTATACATCCTGAGTATGTGCAATGTTGTTCTAGACTCTTTGCTGGAGTGCAGCACATCATCCATCTTCTCAGCAAATAACTTTTGCTTGTTGAAAAGGAGATTTTCCAGCTTTGACTGGAGCTCACGAGGGACCCCCGCAGATTGTAACCAGGAGACTTTCCTCATTACTACTGTAGCAATAGCTCTGGTTGCTGTGTCAGCTATGTCTAGTGCTATTTGGAGTGATGTTCTGGAAGAGGTATAGCCCTCCTGAACTATGGATTTTAATATTGGTCTTTTAGAGTCCAGCAGGTTTTCTAAGAGGGAGGTCAGCTTTGTGTTGTCAAAGTTGTGGCTGGAGAGTAGCGCTGCATAATTTGCTATACTCAGGAGAAGGGTGGCTGAATAATAAAGCTTTCTCCCAAAGAGGTCCATGTGTTTATTATCTTTATCAGTCATGTTTTAATATTGTGGTAATTTAGCTCTGTTTTGGGCAATGTCGACAACTAATGAATTTGGTTGAGGGTGGGAAAATAAGAAATCGGCTCCCTTTGGAGGGATGAAATATCATTTGTCCACTCTTTTGTTAGTTGAGGTTGTTGAATCTGGGGTCTGCCATATCTCATTGGCAGCATCCTTGATGGTGTCATCTATGAGGATCACTGCCTTTCCCTGTTGTGATAGCTGAAGGTTTTTAAGCCTGTGTTGTTTCTCAGGCACCTCAGTTAATGTGATGTCCTGAGATGCAGCCACCCTTTTGAAAAGCTGACACTGACAAGCGGTGGACTTGAGGAAGTGGCAAGGCAGAGCAGCTGGGGTGCTGCAAGGTTGGTCCCGCAGCACTGCCCCTCACCTGAGTGGTGCTGTGGGATCAACCCGGCAGCACCCCAGCTGCTCTGCTCAGCCACTTCCCCAAGTCTGCTGCTGCTGCTTGCAGCCCTAGCTGGCCTGTAGCAGGCAGCTGCGTGGGGCTTCCCCCGCCTCCCTGCAAAACGGTGGAGGGTTTGCCCCTCGCCACGCCATTCCCCGCCAACCCCCCCCCTCCCGGCCAGACACAGTGCAGTTTGGCAGACCCATCACAGGGGTATAATCCCCTTCCCCTTTCTTCCCCTTCCCTTTCCTGGCCCATGAGCACGCGTGGGGCTCACAGGAGCACCAATTGTCCAGCTGGCTGGAGCACTTCTGGGTTCCAGTTGGTGCTGGACTATCAGGAGTGCTGGACCACTGGATGCCAGACAATTGGAGTTTTACTGTATATTGGACTGTTCCATCTGTGGTAAAATCAGATCAGGGAAACTTGTTGAAATGACATATCACTTCTGTGGTATACCTGATGATGTGGCAGTAGATACGGGTAAGCATGGTGATTCCCTTGAAGGAGGAGGAGAATGAGGCAGGTATCTTGAATAAGGAGAGGTGATAAACGGTACCTGGGCACATGATGCCTTGCTTGTTTGTGTGGAATGCAAAGATGCCTGTGCTGAACTAGTCGGTGCCATGCTGGTCAGTGCTGAAGTCGTCGGCACGTGTGTGGCTGATGCCAAGGTCGTCAGTATGTTTGTTGACCATTCCGACATGGAAGGGGCCAATGTTGTCGGTGCCAATGCTGTCGCCGGCAGTGCTGAATGGTGAACCGTTACAACTGTTAATGGCACCATTACAGATTTTTGCCACGATTTCAGCTCTGACAGCAACTTATATTTGGGCACCACTGCTCCTGACGTGCCGGGCTTATCACTGACACTGACGTGCGTTGAAGGCAAAGACTGAGCTGGAGAGGTTCTCTTTCAAGCTGGAGCAGCCTGTGGTGAAACAGCCTTTCTTTTCTCTGCTCTAGGAGAACGCGGAGTGGAGACTAGATGAGAATACTCCGGAGGCTGGAGCACTTTGTCAAATAAAAACATGTTTAGTCTCATCTCCCTGTCCTTAAGTGCCCTAAAGGTCAGCTTGGCACAGCGGATGCATTTTTGAGGTACATGGGCCTCACCAAGGATACACTCCA